GCGAAAAATGCTCGAGATACATTCGTGTCCCTGCGCGTGCTTGCCAAGGGAAGAATAGGATATACTGCCGGAGAGAATGACTACCAAGCAGTTCGACAGATTCTTACGGTTCCCTTGTTCAAGAATTTTCTTCAAGCGATAACAGGATGTGGTCGTGGATGCAAAATCTCGCAGGTATAGTGTGGATACAGCTATAGGTTTTGACGGTGTACAACTAGCTAGACGGATAGAGAAAAAATTGGACCTATTTTATAGCTGCGACATGTAATAAATTTACGTCTCGATAAATGATTTCTTTATTTGTATCTTCGTTCTACGGGGCGACTCGTCGACGCGTTAATCGTCGTTCCATCGTCTATGGTCGTAGGTACATACATCCTCACGACGACGCGTCGTCACGAGGAAGCGATGTCTTAGTCGGCACCTATGCACACGTGGATGCGCGAGAGAGCGCGAGGCATCCGACTGCGCTGTTAACGGGCTGCCATTCTCGATAAGAGGCGTTGCAAGGACGACACTGATCGCGCACGACGTGTAGGCAAGCTGCTCGTAAAGTGTTTAGTTGAGGGCAGGTGGGGAGGCAGGGCTCGCCGGAATGGGGTGGATGAGTTAAACTACACGAGGTCTGACGGTAATAATTGAGTGCCGCTCTGTCTAGTTAGCACCTTGTACCGCCGGCTGACTCTCGTCACTTTATCGACTAAACGACAGCGATGCGTGACAAATCCATCTTGTCTTAACCGCCGACGCCGACGTCGATTATCGACGGAATCTCAAAACGGAGCAGCCGACACGTGAGATTAACACGTCGAATGCGGAAACGGTTGTGTCGATGCACGTTGAAAGATCATTTTATGCGTTCAAAAATATCCAAAGCATATTTATTTTTCTTTCTATCTCTTTCTCTCAAAGCTTATATAGTTGAATATATAATAAATGGTTACAGATGAGTTTACGAATTTTTCAGTTTATCGCCTCTCACATTTCTCAAAATTTCAATCGACGTGTAAGAAAAAAATTCACCGCAATATTGTTTGATCCTTCGCAGACTACACGCGATTCTCTCCCTAGTCGTATGTCGAATGTCTGAGTAACGAAGGCACGCAAGTTCGATCGTTAACACGATCTAAAATTCTCGTAAAGGGAGTTGCCAAAGTTGGCGAATTTACAACATTTCTATGGAAAGTGGCCAATGTAAAAGATATTTGCGGGAGTCCCCTTCGCGACTCGTCTCCTTCACGTATCTCCCGCACTTCTACCCTCGTCACATTCTTTCCCCATAAAAGTGTGTGCTTTCTCTCTCTCTCTCATCCCGTTCATGCACCTCCGATTCGACGCGAATTTCGGCGTCGCTCGAGCGAGCTTGCTAATTACCGTCGGTATAACAACGCGACTCCGATAAAAAGTAATGATTCATTTCGCGCAACGCTCGTCGGTTTATCTGTTTCTGGCGTTGGCGTTGGAGAAATCGTTCTTGCAACTAAACAGCAGCAGCTCTCGCGGCAAGGAAGATTTACGTGACGCAGTGCCGGGAGAGAAGATATCAGACAGAGGGCGCAGGGAGGGAAATGTCTGGCTCGTTTCTCCGTACACTTTTTCGGTATCCCTTCCTTCCCTTCGCCCTCGTCGTTTTCCTCTGCCCCCTGACCGGCCCGCGCCGAGCGTGAGATGGCGAGCGCGCGGGATTCTGCAGACGAGCCGCTTAACGCCGCTGAATGCAAGAAAACGCAAGGGAACGAACGAATGGTAGTCGGCCAAGAGTTCGGCTCTCGAGTGAATAATTAAATTACGCGAGCGAGGAGATCGCGCGACTGCCTGCGGGGTCGGTCGGGGGAGGAAAGGGAAACGCAGGCTCAAAGTTGAAATTTCACGCGCCATTGTTCGATCCCGCCGAAGGAATAGGAGTTAGAAGCATTTAGGGAGCGGCAAGCAGGCACGGGGCTGTGAATTACGGTCCAAGATACGGCAAGACGAGTCGAAGGGATGCCGTGGCAGGGATCGGCGGCAGCGGCGGAGACTGAGACTTTAATTCCAGGCTACATCCACCACGCTTCTTCGGCCTAAACGACTTCGATTTCGACTGCGCACGGCGAAAACGAGATTAATCGCGGAACCTTTTGTTCTTCTCACGACCGAACAGCTCGATGTCGCGCGTCATTGAGTTCGAGCTTGAGTATTCCAACTATTATTATTCCATCCATCTGATCGCGTAGCAACGTTTCAACGCGGATGGATGTTGAGGAGCGGACGCGTTATTATCGAAACACACGACTCGAGCCGCACAACCCGTTTGGCAATGCAAATGCAATCGCGGTACACGGTAGTGCGTATGGAACGAAGAAATGTCCGAGGTGAAAGACTGCGCAGAGTACAGAGTCGGTGGCGTTGCGAGGGAGCAAAGAGTGGACGGAATGAGAAGGAAGAGGAGAGAGAGAGAGAGAGAGAGAAGAAGGAGGAAAGGAAGAAGAAGAGGGACCCGCATTCTCGGAGATTATCGTGCTCGCCATCAGCGTATCACGGCGTCAGAGGACAAGATTTATATGTAGAGTTTATTGTCGCTGAGTCCGCCCTACTGCGTTTTATGGATGTTTTTCGAAGGAGCGCTGCCGCCCGCGTGATCTATCGCGGCACCCTCGCTCAGAGCCTTCTCTCTCCTTCTCTTCGTTCCTCTCTCGTTCCCTCCCCCGCTCTGATTCGGTACACGAGGGTGGCGCTGAGGGAGACGGAGGGATTCCTAATGAACGCTACGACGGAATCTCTTTTCCTTTCTTTCTCTTTCTCTTTTTCACCCTCTCTCGCCCTTCCGTCTCTCGTCTCGCACTTTTTACCGAGTTTACCTCTCTCTCTCTCTCTCTCTCCGACTCGTTTCTGTAGTCAGCGCCACGTCGTTCGCCCCACACATTAACGCGAGATTTATACCGCAGAATCCTGGACGATATCGCATTTACATTTTTGTCGCATCACTATAAACCACCTACCTACCTACGTTAAACTACCCCGCCTCTCTACCCTCTCTCCGCCACCGTGCGCTCCGGACGCAGTATTTCATGATCGAGCGAGCTTTGTTTCGTAACGCGCGCGATTTCGCGGAGGTCGCCCCGTCGCGCCGCGGCTCGATTCGCTCGCCGAAAAATGTCACGGTGCTTCTCGCGGTGATTACGGCGAACCGTTTATTACCCAGGTTTTCAATTATCTACGAGTCTACCTACCCCGTTTTCAAAAGTAAAATTATCGCTTTCGATAATAACATTGAAATGAATTTTGTGACAGGTGCGTTACAATTTCACTTTCGTCCTACCCGCGATAGCGGTCGTCGACCGACGAGGATTTGTGGACGGCAAAAATGCGGCTCGTCTTTCGGAAATGTGCGAACGCGCCGCGATGGCGACCGACCCCGATTCCACATAAACACGTGAACGGTAGAGGGAGATACATGGCGGCAGTATGTTACACGTGTTACCGGCCGGCACGTACGGGTTACGTCCGGCAGTCAATCGCTCTAATACTCGCACTCGCCGTGCGGCACACACCGAGGGTGTATCGGTGCTCGTGTGCACTGCGGTGCCGCTCGTATACCGTTTCATCCCCCTATACGTCCACCCTCTCTCCACCTAGTTTCGCAGGAACTACATCACCAAGTGATTACCTCCCCCTCTCGGCGGTGCATCCTGATGCGTTCACCGGCCCGGCGATCGTTTCCTAAACCCTCTGCGGCCTGTCATCCGCGCATCATCGCGAAACCGAGTTCCCGAAAAAAGTCGCGAGATTGATGTTTCCAAGCGTCGCGCTTCGACGAGGTCGTCCGTTATTTCAGTTTTTGGCTCGTCGTTACTCGCGTCGTTTGTCCTACATCGTCGTGCAATATCCGCCGAGTTTCGGTCTTGCTTGAAAAGCCATAAATCGTTTACGCTGCAAAATTCTGCAGCGTAAATTACAAATATGTATACTTATGCGTGTAATATATATATATTTAATACAATCGAATGTTCTTACGATCGTAAAGTACGATAAAGAGATAATGATTATTGATTAATATTAAAAATCCCCTTTCGCGCGATACAATATAGAATCAGAAAATAATGTTATTTGTAATCTATAGATACGTACAATAATCTCACGATAATTTATATATTTTCATTAAAAATTGCAAAGTGACATTTTTATCAGCGGACGTATTCGCGATATAACGAAACGATAGATTATCCTAGCGAAAACACTGAGCTCGAGACGGAGCGCAAATTCCGCGCTTATATTACGAAATCGAGTGGTATACTTGGCGATGCGGAAAATCGCGTACTCCAGATCCATCGGATGCAAACGGCGCGACGCGACGCGGCGCCGAGTATCGTTAGCGCAAACCGAGCGTAATTGGCGTGGTGTTTAATTCAAGTTAAAAGCAAAAGCCGCCGTCTCTCGCGCCCGTTGTCCCTGCGGATCTTGGCGCTTAGACGAAGGCTCCGCGTGACGCGCGCGTTCGTAGACCAATTAAGATTACTTTCATCGGCGACGCCGGATTATTCACGCCACCCCTGGCAGCCTTATTATGCGTGTTTAACAAAGCTGAGCTGATTATATCAATAAATTAAGGAAAGCTGCAACCCCCTTCTCCCGATAAGCAACTCCCGTCCTCCTCCTCTGCGAGCCGCTTTACCGAGGCGTACATCACCGACGTCCAGGTCGCTCCGCCCTGAGTTATGCTCGACAATTATACCTATCTACCCGCGTGGTGGGCGTTATTATCATATTATACCGCGTTACCCCTTGCGTCTGCACGTATACGCGTGTACGCGTACGTGTGCGAACCTAACTCTGGTTGACGTCGTGGAATACCGAGGTCGACGTCCCGATCCATAACTCCTCGGTAGTTGTGTTTTATTAGAGGCGCCCCTTATTTTCCTTGCGCGCATTGGTGTCCCCAATGCTGCTTTTTCCTTCGCTCTTTATCTAATGTTCTCGAAAAGAGGTATCCTTCCTTATCAGATTTTATTTTTGATTTACAGAGTTTATCGTAACGATGCCACGGTCGATTGCCGGACGATCCCGACAAAAGGAACAAAAAAAAGGTAAAACTTTTGAATCGTCTTTTGTTATAATATTTATTACATTTCTCTTCATCTTCTCTCGATCTTTATATAATTATACTGTATAATCGACTTTATAAAGTCGTCTCGAGGGATAAAAATTCAAAGGTAGTATCGATTCGACGAGTCCGATCGATCGACACGTGTCCCTCTCTCCCTGTGGCCAATCGGGCTTCGAGCCAAAGCCCGTGCTCTGCGGGATGACCGTGAAAAATCCCTAAATTATGATAATGGCGCCGACATAATGCGATCCAATGAGGCAATCAAGGGATGGTGGCAGCAGGGTGGTGGCGGCGGGCATCGGTCGACGGTATCGATGGCCGATGTCGGTGTTGCGGGGTGGCGCGAGTTACGCGTCCCAGGGTCGTATTAGTGTTACTGGCCACCGAGCCGAACGAGCACGGACGATCTATGTGTCGGGGACGATACAGTGCTTGCGTGTAGCGGGTATAATTGCCGTTGGTGGGCAGCAGTTGCTCTAGGAGGACCAGTTTCCATCAATCAGCCCGCGCTAAACACCCGCCCGCGCGCGCGTGCGGAATCGCACTAGTCGCGTCGACCGATCGCAATTGTCCCGAATGCGGTTCGCGCGCACAATCTATGTCTCGCGGCGGATTGCCCTTTCGAGGGCGTCAAAATGTCGTTTTTTTTTCGTTTTAGAATTCATCGTTTTTGTAAGCTCGTATATACGACGCGCTCTATTTACTATCTCGCGGCGAATTGTTACAAACGCTCGTTCGCCGTTTTTTTTTTTTTTTTTACTAGTCGCGTTACCTCTTTACACTTCGTAAAACGTATATGTGCATCGAGATGCGCAATTCATATGTTTTAAAGAAAAAGAGTGAGAGAAACAAAACAATTCGTCAACATATGAATTGCGCATCTCAATGCACGTATACGTTTTACGAAGACAATAAATGGATCGTGTGAATAATATATATATATATTATTCAAATTAGTTTAGACATTGATCTATATTCTCGCTCTTTATCTCTCTCTCTCTCTCGCCCTCTCCGACGTACATATGCACGTGCCGATGTACAGGCTGCTTCCGACGTACCTGCGAACACATATACGTAAGCATATATTCTAGCACGTACGGTGGGGCCTACTGATGGGATGGGACGCCATGCGGGGTAGTTATGGGACCACGAGGATGTTAATGACCATAAACAAGCAATCACTGTAATCCGCCATGAGTCACTCCAGCTGTCCGCCTGGCTACATAGATACGACCTGCCATATGCCCAGCCTGACCGGCGGTGGATGTGCGTGTTGCTGGATCATCCTTGTTACGATGATTCCTCCCAAACAATGCAACTATATATGCATAATATATTATTTCATTGAATTGACACGAAGCATCTCTAATATTTGGATAGATTAAATACATTAAATTTAAAAATATTAGAGATATGTGTAGTTTAGAAATTACAAGAGTACGCTATTACGAAGAGAAACATAAAAAAAATGTCATGTTGTTTTTATTATAAAGTTAGAAAAATTACTACAATGAGAAAAAATTGATCCCTACTTTATTACATAATGTGATAAAAATAAAATATACTTACGCGACTCAAAATATGAAAGATGACATTTCACATTTTTGTGACAGGCAGGAGAGACTTTGTATTAAATTCAGATTTTTGTGACACGTATAATAAAAAAACGTATGCGCGATTGAAGAAGCAATCGTGACAAATATCGAGAATTACTGCGCGGCTTTAGATTCTCTCTGCGCGCAACGATCAGAAACGACCGCGATAGGATAGATGAAAAGAAAGGAGAGGAGCGGGGAAGAGGGTTTACGAAGAAAGGAGATAGGAAGAGAGCACAGGCTCGCGATATCGACATCCATGGCGAACCTTACGATCGAGGCTTACGACGATCGTAAATACGTCGGCGATACGGCCCTCTCTCGTTGAAGATACCGAAAGGATAGGAAAAGGGGAAGGCAGATGAATAGATAGAGACAGTGAGGGGAGAAAAGAAGAAGGAGAAAGGGCGGGAGGAGCACCTAACCGTGCCGAAACATTTTATGAGTATCGATCTCTGACATAAAGCGACTTCCTATACTACGTGGCGTATAATACATATGTACGCAACGGTATACACGGATACGCGCGCGCGTGCTCAGGATAAAGGTATTACTTTACGTGTTACGTATACCTTTGCTCATAACACTCGATACCTACATTACTTGGCGAAGCGCCGAAGGCCAGTATTCGTTACGTATCATAGACGATTTCGCGCGATAGCCATTGATCGTTTAAACCATCGATTACGGGGCAGGATCGTGCGCTCGTGTCGTGCGAGCGCTCCTACCCTCTTAATCATGATCGTCCTTTGAATTATTTCTCCGAAGCAAACGTATAGCCGACATATTGTTTCCAGCATGTATCGCCGCCTCGCTTGTATCGCTATCGTCGTTTCTTCCAAGACGTAAGTTTCGTAATCGAGAGTGGCAGATTTTTTTAATCGCGTTCAAATTTTTCTTTCAATCGCGCATTAAAAATTGGAGAAACACGGCATGGATGATAATAAAGACGTTTCGTTCGTGCCGCGTCGGATTAATATCGATCACTCCAGCTTTTCCATTAAGCGACATCGTTCTTCAACTTTCACTTGGCGTCGCGATAACAAAAGTCCGCCCGCTCGTGGTTACTTCCTCGAAGGAAATTAATACAAACAAGTAGCGCCAACAACAAGCGACTCTGTCGTCGGCGATCACGAAGAGGGTAGTAGAGGGTAGATGCGGGTTGAGCGGCGAGCGAGCAAGCAGCAGGCAAGGCCGCGAAAAGTTGGCGATGACGGCGGATGTTATTGGCAGCGAGGCCATTCGTCGCGATGATGGATGCCTGACAGGCGCTCCTCGCTCGCTTCGCTCGCTCGCCAGGCAGTTATAATAAGTAATGGGCTCACTTCCGCCGCCATCGCGCTGCCCGGTCATGCCTCCGATGCCCCGCGAAACCTTGGTGTACGTCTCCGTCTCTTTCTTTCTCTCTTCCCCCTTCGCTACTCGCGCCCTTGCTACTATCCCTTATCGTCGTCCTTCTCCACCTTCTTGTTTCTCCATCTCTCGCTTACTTGCCGCTCGTTCCCTCGGGCTGAGTGAGGCCAGGCCACTCGTCTTCCTACTCTTTCCATCCCGCCTCCGCCTCCTTCTCGTAATAACTACAAATCTGTCACGCATTAATTCTCCGTCCGGCATAAATTCGAGCACGGTACAAGCGGAGAAGGAAAAAGTTATCGCGAGGGTTGGGGCGGGCAACTCACCCCCTTGCCGCGCGCCCCGTATTCGACTCGCCGCTCTGTGCCCCCTACGGAGAAAGAGAAAGGAGATATAGGGGTGGAATGCCGGGGCGAACAGCGTGATGTTGCGCGAGAGAGGGTGGAAACCCGGAGAGAGCGAAAACTGTTAATGTCGTAACGTCGCGGAATGAAGAGCGGTCCAGGGTTAATAATTCTTCCGGCGCCTGATGATACTTGTGAGATTCATCGCATAGGAAACAATATATTGGCAATGTCACGGCTTGAATTCGTATTAAAATTATTATAGGTACGCGTTATATTTTTTAGTTTTATTTTTTATTTTTTTTTGTAATATATGCATACACGATATAATTTCAATACGATAATAAGTATGAAATAAATGGAAAAAATCAAACAAAATAAATTTGCTCCGAAAGTAAAGACGTTTCTAACTTTCATCTAAAATCTTTCCCTTTATGCATATAATTGTTTTATGACGAAATAAATCACTAATCTTAATCGTCTAAAACTTAATTAATTTTCGATATAACAGCCAATATATAAAGTTGTTGCAAAAGAAAATTTACTCCACGATTTAAATTCATGCCGTGTACAAAAGTGCATATATGAGTAAATACAGGAGCAAATAATTCGTAATGAAATTAACACGCATTAACTCGAAACTGAGTACTGCCAATAAAAGCCCACTCGGCGTCTGGTCATGCGAACGTAGAACGGAAAGAGGAAAAGATAACGCTTGCTCGGAGGGATCGTCGCGTCGATCCTGCAACGCGCGGCAGTTATTTGCAAGTGTTGTGAATTTATATTCGCGGCAGATAGGAGAGTGGGCAAGAGAGGGAGTATACCCTCACTCGATGCAACGTTGTTTATCGGAGTGGCGGTGTGCTGCCACGTCGAGCGCTCTCGATCGTCACCCACGACATCCACATTATCGTAAAACCGCGCTTGATTCCGCGTTCGTTCCGCAGAATTTTTATCGTCGAATTTTTCCCAACATACGTCGTATTAAACCATCAAATTATCGCTCCTAGAAAACATTACGGAAACTTCAAAGATTCAGCCATGAAGGAACATTTTACGAGATAAATACATTTAGCGCAAAATATATATTTCAATTTAAATATAGAAATACAAACTTTTAAAATTATTTTCTAAATTCTGAAAATTTTATATTACCAAACGGTCCTCGGAGAGAGATACAAAATTAATACGTTTTCATTTACTTGGAGATAATGCAAATTGGCGATTTAATAACATTACAATGCTGTTAAGCTTCATGACGAGATTGAAACGCGAGTGATTAATTCTCTACTAAAGTACGCTTTCCGATGCAAGCGTAGACGGCAAATAAAAGACTTACCTCGACTTTGTTCGGTAACTCGGCGACGAATTCCGGTCGAAGTTCGCGCTCTCGTTTCGTATTCAATGTAATAGACTCGTTACAAATAGCGGTTCGGTTAGGTTAAACAGCGGGATTCTCAGCAACGTAGGAAAAGGGGCGAGTAAGCGCTGAGGTAGAGATAGAACTACTTCCACCCTCTGGCTGGCAGGAGGAAGCGGGAGGACTCCCTCAACGACCGTGACAAATAACTCTCCTTCAACGGGGGTCTGCATCATTTAATTTTCCTTAGCCCTGCTACCGGAATCGATGATCTTCTCTGCCGAGTATCTTACCGAAGACGAATGGGATGACTTAGACGCCGTTTCGC